AGCTTCTACATTGCTCCCACTGTCTGATCTGCAGTAGTTATAAACAGTGGAACTAACATTCTGTGTCAACTGTATCCATATTTTCAGATAATTCTGGTCAAATTGCTCAGTAAATCATAACTTATTGTGTCATTTTTCTAAAAGCACCTTGAGGTAACAGTTGTAATCATGAGCTCATTTTAGAACAGGTGCCACTAAGATGCATAACTACCTTATTTCTCCTGTGACTACACACTGAGTGAAACAAACAAAATAGGTTAATTATTATCTTTTAGCATTGGAGGGTTGATTAAATATGAGGTGAGATCAAAAACCTACACATAATTTATTCAAAATGACAAATTGTGTGTGAATTACCCTATATAGAAAAGCAAGATTTCCTATATATGGACTATATGCTGTTGAAGGCCAGCAGAAACATCAAAAATAGTTCTATTCAAATTTTAAGAGAAGTATTTTCCTTTTACATAAATACTCTCTCTCAAAAAAAAAAAAAAAAAGGTAGAACTGCTTTCATTTGCCCCAGTACAGATATCTGAATCTCATCTTCATCCTCCCTTCAACTGAGAAGGAAAATGCACCTCCAGAGAACAATTGTGTGACACAGTCTATACAATAAAGTGTTAAAATAAGATCAACTGCCTTGTGTAGGTATTTTTTCCATGTAAATGACTATAACGGGAGCTTATGAAGATTAACTCAGGCTTCGATGTCTAACTAGTAGTTGTCTCAATCCTGGAGATAAATCCAACTTTTATATATTGTGGATACATGATTTGTGTCTTTATTCTGGTTACTAGTGGGCTTGCTTTAAGTCACTTACTAAATTGTAGCATTAAAATAAAATATACATCCCCTATTACAGTTGAGGAATGCAGTCTACATCTATTTTGTCTCTTATAACTTTGTATTGGTTTTAAGGATGGAATGAGCACACGAGAAATAACAGCAAAGCAGCAGCTAAAATTCATAAAGACTGGAGTAAGTGAGAAATGCAGTGCTAGCTTTAAACAGCAGTCAGTACTGTGACTTATAAGGGCCCTGCCACAACGATTTACTCTGGTACAACAGAATTTGGACATGGCAGATGAAGTTCAGACCCAATACAACAGCAAAAGACAAGAAGAGAACTTTTCTACAGGACTGAATAGCTGGAGGGGTGGGAAGGGAGGAAGGGGTGGGTGGGTGGGTAACTGCTGCCTCCATTGTAGCCATGAGGAACTGAAACATAAAGACACAACACTTGTCACATGCTTCACTGTCGACTCATTTTTTCCCAAACTGGGAGGGTGGAGCTTTTTTGGTTAAGCATGAACATACATCTCTGAGACACCTTACAAAAGTCAAAGCAAACAGGCAAACCCCACATAAGAACATTTGACCCTTCAAATCCAACCACTTTTGGACCTGCTTAGGAGCTCCGTTCTCTGAAGTACGTACAAATTTAAGTAAAGCACTGTAGCTCACGCCCGTCTCGGTTAAATCTGACCACGCAGCCAAGTCCTCGAGGGTCTCTGACAGATCCAGCGCCGTTCCTGGACAAGGCTGCCTCCTGGTGGTGGTACCCAGAATCTGCAGAACATCAGCACTGGCGCACAGAAAGGGCCTGTCTTAAAAAGCATCTTCCGGTTTTAATTCGGAGCTAACTAGAGGCAGTGAGAATAATTCTTTTCACCTGGGCATCAGGATAAATCGAACTGCAATTTAAACAGTCTGAATTCCTGTTCTAGAGCACTGGAACAGGCTGCCCAGGAAGGTCGTGGAGTCTCCTCCTCTGGAGACATTCAAAACCTATCTGGATGCATTCCTGTGTCACCTGCTCTAGGTGACCCTGCCTGGTGGGGGCATTGGACTGGATGGTCTCCAGAGGTCCATTCCAAACCTAACAATTTTGTGAGTCTCTGAATTACGGACAAAATTTTTGAGAGTTGACTGAAACAGAGTTTTCTAAAGGCATGCAGGCAAGCAAGGCTTGAGGAGACTTCTAGTGAGACATTTAAAAACCAAAAATCAATCAGTTAGACTACCCAACTGTATACTATCCACAGCAATGAACTAACATGGTCTGGAACACTTAATAGCTACTAGATACAAAGTCTAAATGGCTAAGTGCCCAAAATTGGATACAAAGTGCCACAGCAGACTCAACATTGTGAATTTTATGCAACTTAAGTTTTCAGTTACAAGGGACAAGAGCAAGAGAAAACAGAAGTCCCAAACTAACTTTCAAATGGATTTCCTTTTGCATAGAAGTGGGAAAAGAATCAAGTGGACGAATTTTGAATTCCAAGTTTTCAAGTGAAGAGAAACATAAAGATGTTTTTATGTAGTTGTTTGATACCTAGAAAATCAAGAAGAGAGCTTCAAATTACTCTGAGAGTAGTATTTTAATTGTCACGCTTCAGATGACCCCAGAAGAAGATTTAGTAGAAGCAAACACAGAAAGATTGAAAGAGGCAGCACAATGCAGGGGTAAAACATCAATGCTAGGAATTAATAACAAAATGTCAGAGGGCACATGTAGTGAACATGTGTTTTAGACTCAGCTTCCAGTAACTGGTCAGAAGAGAAAGCACTTTAAAGATAGCAATCAAGCACATCATAGATTTTTAACCCTCAACATGCCTGAAAAGCATCCAAAAATGTTTGGGAAACATTGAGAAATCCAGAATTCCTACACTGATTGTGGATGTTTGCTCATAAACAGGGTTAGGCAAGAACAGACATAAGGCCATACCAGAAGGTCTCTGTAAAGCAAAATGACTCCGTAAAGCAGTATTAGGCAGCAATAAGCAAAAGTATTGGAGAAAGTGGTGGTGGTGGTGGTGGGAATAACTGAAAGTTTAAATTAGTCCAAGAATATTTTTTCTTACACTGGAGTGAAGTCAAATGGTGACTAATTAGGTCTCAGCTTTCTAAAAATAATGGGGACTCAGTGTAGTTAAGCTGTGGAACATAACAAAACACTACATGAGATGTAAGCTCACTTATATGCCAGTGTCAGTACCAGGCACCATGACTTGATGAAAATACTAAAATTTGTTGTACTAGAAATTACTACAAACTATTTTAAAAGTTATATTCTAGGCAGAAAAAACCCCACAATTATGTTCATGGGATTGAACTTGCAGAGTTAAGCAGATGTCCTTTGCATAGACACCACAGACATTCCTCCACAACAGCATGTTTGTTATGTGAGTAACACATCATTAATATGGAGCCAAAATCACTTGGCTGCTGTCAGCTTAAGCATGGACTCATATCTTACAAGCACAACAGAGCAATGAAAAACCATTATCAGCTACCCGGCATTCAGATTTAAAAATGCACTTAGACTAGCTTTACATAAAATTTTCCAGAAGTATTTAAAGGCAGTCTTTTTACACACATCCAACATCGCTTTTTTCACAATTTAAGGACATTCAAGGAAAAAAAGGTGATTCAGTGATAACTTTCAGAAACTAACAATGACCACGATTAGAGGTTCCATACAGTACCCAACTTCTAGCAAAATCTGTAGCTAACACATGCTGGCAAAATGGCACTAAACTAACAGAGGAAACAAAAACCTTCCAAAGTTATCCAACTTGCTTTGGAAAGGAAATGCAATAAGAATGTATCCTATACAAGAAGTAACTATTTTCTGATTATTTACAAGGATCTGCTGGGAGGGCTTTATGAAGTCACTGGGATCTCTGCTGAGGCACAACGTTACAAGCCAGCCTTTTTTATCAGAAGGCTGATGCCTAAAACTGTAGATCAGAGCAAAGAATTGCCTTTTCCTGAGGGAAGAAATACTAGATGACATAGAATATTACAAAAGCAGGAACATTTAAGCACTACAAAATGCTAAAGCAATGAGGTAGATTCAGACCAAATTTCTTTAACTTAAAGCATTTTATATAATAAAGGGTCAATCCTTCCTCCTAAGTAAGTTACAAAGAGCTGGGAGTCTTCAGTGATTACCTTGCAGATTCAAAGAACAGCTACAGCTATTCCAATTTATCCATGAACACAGCATCCTCACTGAGCAGTAGCTGGGGTGAAATTAAACAAAAAACTGCCCATGACACAAATGCACACAGAAGTTCTCAGGTATTTGGGAACGCTGGGTGATTTTGAAGGGCCAGTTACTATGTCTTGTCACTCTGTACAACTACCTGAAAGGAGGTCTCTTCTCACAGGCAACCAGTAGAAGGACAAGAAGGCACAGGCTTAAGCTGTGCCAGGGGATGTTTAGGTTGGGTATTAGGAAGAAATGTTTTACAGAGTAATCACACATCAGAATTGGTTGCCCAGGGAGGTGGTGGATTCTCTGTCCCTGGAGGTTTTTAAGATGAGACTGGATGTGGCACTGAGTGCCACGGTCTAGTAACCACGGCAGTGTTGGATCAAGGCCTGGACTTGGTCTTTTCGGAGGTCTTTTCCAACCTCGTTGATTCTGTGATGATTCTGTGATAATTCTGTGATTCCATGGATGCTAAAAATTAAAATCAAATTGGCCAGTTTTCAGTACACAACAATAGCCTTAAATACAATCTCTTGGCTGATGTAGAGTTAAACATGGAACCAGGTATCTTACAAGTATAACAGAAGAAGCAAAACTATTTAGTTGTTTTCATAAATACCTCATACAATATTTTTCATAAACACTATTTCATTAACACCTCAGTATTCAAGCTCACCTGCATTCCTGTTACTAGATTTCTAAAGAAGAAAAAAATTATTACGCCCAGCAAACCACCAAACCCTAATGTGTCCATTCCTAGACTTCCCATTTTGACACAAGACTTGTATGGATTCACTTTATAAACAATGAGGCTGTGACCAAGTTTAATCAGAGCACTCCAAGGCCTGTTACATGTCATTCTCCATTCTAAAACCGGCCCGTGTGCTGACCAGGCACATGCACAACTGCCTCCACTGACACTGTCTCATCAGTGCCATTTTTCTGTCAATTAGTTTAAGTAGAAAATAACAGTCAAATTAAGTTAAGCATGTTTTGTCATAGCTAAACATCTCATTTTCTGTAATTTTTATTTCTAATAAAGATTAACAACAAAGTGCTGACAATTAAGTTGTCTTAATTATCGGTCTTTGGGAGGATTAGGATTCCTGCGTCTTCTATGATACCTAGAAGAAAAAAAAAAAAGGTGTAGTGAATGCAAAGACCGTGGACAGTCTTTATTTTCCTGATATTTTTGCCCCCAGTAAGTGATCTGAGGTTATATATATAAGCAAAACACAAGACACACAAGCACTACCCATCATCACTCAGCAGATGTCATCTCTGTTGTTTGTGGAGTTACATAACGCTACTCATTTCTGTTGCTATATCTGCTACAAGCACACAATAATCCAATCAGTTCTACAGCTGAATAGGCACAAAGGCTGCTGTTTATTCTTAATCCTTTGTGTGAAGTTAATTTTATTACATGGTCAGCTTTCCCTTTGGCTAAAACGAACTGCGACAGAACAGACGCCAGACTGTGCATTAAATAGTGTAGTATTTTACAGACAAACTGAAAAACAAATTCTTAACAACAAAAACTGATCCATATTTTCCTCTTAATTATGCATCATAAAACAAGATAGATCCTGATTGATCCTCATTAACGTGACAGCTATCCTTTGGTCATGAAAGTCCTACCATTCCATTCCTTATATCTATTCCCAAAGCACACTAATTAAAGTTTTCTGCAGACAATAAACCCCCCAAAATTTGCACGTGTTATGTCTTCACAGCTATAAAATTAGCAGCTACCAAGATATGTAGTAATACGGACTGGAAGAGAGTAGCACAAACCAGAATGCTGATTGTTTCCATTACTATACCTGAATGTACACAGTTCCTCTTTAAGCTCAGTCATACATTTGCACCTTTCTTCCTCCATTTCTCAATACAAGGCACACCAAGGTGCACCTTTCACTATTTCAAATGAAAAACCTCTACTGCTCTTAAATCTGAAAATCATCCAATTGAGGGCTCTTTTCAGAAAAGTTCTTTTAAGGAATAGACAATGCACATTTCCAGGCTGTGTTTGGTTTTGTCCACTGAGGGTGTTTTACATACTAGATTCTGTTATGTAACTTTAATAATGACCCAAAGCAGTAGCTAACTAGATGATAGGAGAAATTGCTACACTGTGACAAAAGTGGCAAAGACTACCAAAGGGAAAGTGTTAAAAAACCCTAATGAAATACAGTCTTCCATTTACAAAACACTACTTAAAATTGTATGTAATAGTCCACATATCTTGTCTCACAGGACTCATCCTAGACCTGAATCTGGTCATTAAATTGTTCCTGTATTTCCCTTTACTTCCAAAAGGAACAAACATTGAAAAGAAAATACTTACTGTCCCACAGGATACCAGCGATGTTTAGTTGTGTAAAACATTTTGCTGAGCTCTTCCATTGTAGGACCTCTTTCGTTCTTTAGCTCTTTTTCATTCAGTCTGGATTTCAAAACTTGATCAAGGTTTTCTTCTTTATTATTCACTGGATCTGGCCGTGGTATGGGCTATAAAAACAGTAATGTATAAGTATGTCCTTCTTCTCTTTTTTTTGAGAAAGTCAAAAAGCCAGGCTACATAAGAGTAAACTGTAATGCTGTCTAACAGCTGAAACCAAAGGAATACAGAAGAATGCCTGCAATTGTACAAGCTGTTTATTGCCCCTGCCTGCCCATCCCAAAAGAAACCATCCCACTGTGGAGCAGATGTCTAGAAACATCTAATTATCTCAGGTGCCACAGCTGATTACCCTACCCCTAACACCAGTACTCTTGTCATCATTATTGCTGATGTCATTCTTACAATTCACTAGCTGAATCAAAAGCTTCAAGTTCTACTAATACAAAAGTATCCATATTATTCCTAATCAGAATTTTATTCATAGTGACAATCATTGTTGCTAAAAAGCTTTTAGCTGATGTGTACCTTTGAGAAGAATGTCACTTCCTAAATTTTTACGCTCCAGCTAAGACAAAGCTGTTTGTTTTCAACTGGAAACCTAACCACTAGCACTATTACAAATATTTTTCCTTGTTTGAGTCTTTTCCACTGTTTTTCCTGAGGCACGTGCAACTGACAGATTTAAAAATACAGATACGTAACTTGCAGGCAAAGAGTGCTAAAAGGTTCTAAGTTTCAATGGAGAATTGTCACATTGGGTACTTCAGCAAAATAGTTACCAGCTGCAGTATTTTACTGGCACATGAGAACTAGAAATTCAAACAAGAAGAATACACTAGAGAAGTTTATCTAGATGTTAAGTCACAACACTAGGCTTATGTTCATCAATACAAAGAACACACTGAAAGTATTACTAATAGATAAAAATTAGTATTTAAAGGTTTTTTTGGCTTTTAAGAACTCCAGAGTGCTGAATGGAATTTAAAGTTTGAGTTGAAAACAGTAGCATCTGTGCACAGTCAGACCCGTGCACCATAACCTGCATTCTGAACATCCTCTCTGAGTAGTTCATAGACAGACACTAGTTTTCTCTGCCCTGCACAAGTATTTGACTGCCTTGTTTAGTTCTCTTTGAGTTACTATATCCTGTGATATCTGAGCTTTTCTTACTCTGCAACTTTCCCTCAATTTCACCAAGCTCCTCCTTGTGGCAGCAGCTGTATTCATCATTCACTTACTTCATAGACATGTTGATTACATACTAAAGAGTATCTCAGTATTTCAAATTAAAAAAGATGCCCTAAAGACTCAAACTTGTGAACTAATAAATGCTTTTACAAGAGTAAGAAATATAAATGTGTACATTTGCACATACTTTTGTATGCTCATATGGAATCTCAAGCGAAGGGTGGTAGCAGACAATTGTCTTCAAATCTGATGTCACTGCAAGTTCCACTTTGCTATGAAAATAAAACAAAGTTATAATTTTCAGAAACACTGAACTGAGCAGTCCAAGTCCTAAAGAAAACTGGATTTGACCCTTCATTTGTGAACTCTTAATAACCTTCTATATAAAATAAGGTACTTGATCTGAACTTCCAATTTTTTGTTCCCCCAGTCATCTTCATCTTTCTTTGTGAACGGAGAGGAAAGAAGAGCTGAAGTATTAAAATAAGTTGGAAATATGAAGTATTAAAATAAGCTGGAAATATGGGTTGGACAAGAAGTCTTTAACACTTTAATAGTTGCATATACAACTCCAAACAGATGGGGATAATGACTGACCTCTGGGACAATACGCCTTCATAAGAAGTGAAAAAACTGGAAACAAAGCTCTGTTTGGGGTTCCAACTTTTCTATTTGGTAAAAGATGATGAACAAGATGTCCTACTGAGAATTTCTTTGTGGGAATATGGCTTTTCTCACCTTCCTTCCCCTTCCCATGACACAATAAGCTTCCTAAAACCATGGATGACATGGATTCTGTGTTTCTCACTATATTTGTATCATCTTTTCCCATTTCTACACAAGTTTCCTATGCAGCAGCACAAATATACCAGGACTTTGTCTTAACAATGAGCACCAGTGGAAATGACTACTCTAAGCTACTTTTGCTCTTGTGCAAGCACAGCTGAAGGGGTACTGGGGTCATCAACATGTTGATGTCATCGATATCATCAGAATGGATCCAGTATCATTTTTCATTACACTTATTTTTTGAAATATTAACTTCACTATCATTACTATTGGAAACAGTACTTGAGCCAAAACTATTACATATATCCAATACTGGCAGAAAATGTGTTTGATATCATTATATGGCAACTTCATGACAGAGAAAGTAGCCCTGGAATAGACATTACATGAAAAGGCCACCCATCAAAGCGTGTTTACATACCAGTTGTAGTCTTCAGGGAGAACCGAGTATGTAGATTTATGGCAAGCATGATACACAGCTCCCTCTGCAACAAGAACCCAAGTAAGGAACAGAGCTTGCCCATTTAAGAATGTTTACATTTTCAATTTTCATTCTGTTTCAAGTCCCAATCAGGATTATAATCCTACACACTTTTAGATTAATAAAACCCAAATACTGTCTAAATAGAAGTTCACTTTACTACACAGATTTCTAATGCAATAAAAAAACCCCACAGTATCGAGGTAGCTATGACCTATACTTACCTTTCCAATCGTTCTCCTAAGAAAAGTCACAGTATGAACAAAATACCTACAGAGTTCACCATTAGAGAATATTCTTCACATATATATATAATGCAAAGAACATTACCTTATGACTTAGAGGGAAGATTGTAATTTCATTCATAGCACCATTATTATAAAAATCAAAATCAAGGGCTCTGACTTGATATGTAGAGAAATGCTTTCCTCATGACGACAATCAACAGTGGGACTGGAGCCCAGCAGGTGTGTCCAGTCTCAGTCCTTGGAGAATTGAAAGATTCAGCAAGCCCTGAGCAACCCAATGTGTTTGCAGAGCTGACCCTGCTTTAAGGAGCAGCTTGGACCATAAATCACTCAAAGTTCCTTACCCATGGTTTGATTTACATTTTTTAATAGAATCACAGAATCATTTCGATTGGAAAAGACTTCTAAGATCAGAGTCCAAAAGCAAACCTAATGCAAGGTGTTAAACAGTAATGGTCCCTTAGACAGGAATCACACTATAGGCATCTGGCTTTCCACAAGTTATTAAATTATCTTAGTTACTGAGAAGTTGAGTTCTGGTAAACTGCAAATAGTCTGCATTTCTTCCTAAGATTTCTTTCCCTTCCTTGCCCGCTAACCTCTAAAATGTAATGTGTCCATTATATTTACTCAACTACCGTCTTTTCTACCACCTTTACTATCTCCCCTACGTCTTTTTATTGACAACTAAAACATAGACAAAAATCTAAAAAGTAGTACTGCCTGTTTCTACTTATTCTTATAATGTTTATGTTAAGTAATGAGATTTTACTGTAGCCTTTTCTCACCACTGTTTATAAGTCTGAAAAAATAAATTTAAGTCTTCAGTGATAATCAGGGGTAAGAGGGTTGGTCTTTACAAGCTAATTAATGTTAGAGGAGTATCCTATGTGAACCATGAAAGCTTCAAAAGGACAAAAACCCACCAGATCAAGATGTCCTTTAATTATTAGCAGAGAGTACAGACTATCAGGCTTCATTCTGTTCAAACAGAAAAGTCATTTCCATGTTTCCATTACTTTACACAGGACAGAGGCTCTCAAGGAACAAATTTTAATATAGCACTTCTACAATTCATTGCTACTTACTGTGCAGTGGGGCCTGCTTACAGTTTGCTACTGAACGCATCCAAAGGAGGCTGGCCCATGTAGTTCTAAGGGACATTGCCATGCTGACAGCAGAGAGGAAAGCAGTCCTGGCCTCGATGGAACTCAGAGATACGTATCCTTTTTCTCTGTAGAACACTCTTTGAAAGAAACCAGTTTCATAACTGTTCAGGATATAGAAGACTAACAATTAAATTTATTGAATATCTTAAGGATAAATAAAATCTGTGCAATATGTTCTTCATTATCTGTCAATTGTTTAGAGGTCCTTATTATTTACAGTACTGGTACCTGCCTTTTTAACAGTCAAAAGCATACAATACTTTATTTACTGAGAGATAGTCTTCGAAAACATTAACTTTTAAAAAAACTTCCAATCTTGGGTCTTCTCACAGGTTTTTCTAATGGTACTCACCCACCTAAAATCTGATCCTTCCTTCTGCACACACCATAGAATTATTCCTGAAACATGTTCTTCTTGTTCACAATGTAAATACCGTCACCCAGTATGAAAACAGAAGTACTTATAAATAACACCTGCTGTAGTTAACAAACTGTCTAAATTAAGTCAGATGGTTTCATCCATCTCAAAACCAATACACCCGAAAACTAAGAACCACCGTTTAGAATACCATATTACCCCAGACTTCAGAGAAGCAGCAAGACATCTTATATTTTCACTGTCTACTGAGAAAAAAAAACTGCTTCAAAGAGAAACTTATTATGATGCTTTAAAAACCAGAACTGGAGACAGCTTAAAGACACAGGACACGCGTCCAGCGACACGCGGAAAAACGAAAACTGACCCTTTTATAATTAAATATTTAAATTAAAAACCAAATAAATCGGTAATCCGCCAACGCAAGCACAAGAGTCCCCGCTATGAAGCCCCCGAGCGTGACCCGCGGCCCCTCGGAGAGCACGGAGCCCCTGCCGCGGCCCTGCCCGGTGCTCACCTGCGTGGCACCGCCCGCCGCCCGCGCCCGCCCCGCCCCGCCGGCGGAAGCCGCGCAGCCCTCCCGATCCCGCTCCCCTCCCGTTCCGGCTCCGGCGGCTCCTCCGAGGCATGCCGGGACACGTAGTGCGGACCGGCCGGCCAGGAGAGCCTGACAGCAACAGTGATACCGGTACCGACACCACCTCCTGCTCCTTCCGCCCTCAGCGCTGCCACGGCCGCAAGCCCCGAGCCGCTTCATAATGTGGTGGAGGGAAGGGCTAGGCCGGGCCGAGCCGTGCTGGGCCAGGGGGAGCGACGCTGACACGGAGTCACAGAATCAGTTAGGTTGGAAAAGATCTCCGAGATGATCGAGTCCGAGCTGTGACCGATCTCCACTTAGACAACTAGACCGTGGCACAAAGGGTCGTTTCTTGAACGCCTCCAGGGACAGTGACTCTACCACCCCCCTGGGCAGTCCAGTCCAATGTTGACAACCCTTTCAGAGAAGAAATTTCTCCTGATGTCCAAACTGGACCTCCCCTGGCACAGCTTGAGGCCATTTCCTCTCGTCCTGTTGTCCACAAAAATCAGATTCGTTACCCAGTGTGCAGCAAGCCAGAAATAACCTGCTGCGGACAACACCGTCACTAGCTGCTTGGCAGAAGAGTCTGCCCCCCATCTGGCTACAACCTCCTTTCAGGTAATTGTAGAGAGCTCTAAGGTCACCCCCAAGGCTCCTATTCTCCAGGCACCCCAGTTCCCTCAGCCGCTCCTCACAGGATTTACCCTCCAAACCCGTCACCAAACACCTGCCACTTGCCCTCAGTGCTCTCTGGTGGTCGCTGTGCTGACTGGGCTGCAGGGGCTCAGAAACCCATAGCAGAGGCACAAGGGGCACCCCGGCATCAGCAGCAGCTGTTCAGCTGGGGGAGAGGGCACAAAGCCCCAGCAACAGGCAGCAGTGCAACTGCCAGTCCCAGGAATGTGCCATAGTCTTATGTTACCTGCAAAATAACCCCCTCTGATCCCATAATTTGAAGAGACATCTCTAGCATTCTTGGTTATTTTCACAAGCTTGTGAGCATGGGCTGCTTGCTTTCCAGGTTAAATTACACAGCACCGGCTCCCTCTGTTCAACCTGCCAAACCCTTGCAGTACCTGTAATACCTTTCTGCAGGGAAGGCCTGGGTTTATGTAGATGAAATAGCATGTTTCCAATATTTAAGGCATGCTGAAAACTCACCTGAATACCCCAGGTACGTTGTTGTTCTGGGGCTACCTGCTTTGCTTCTTTTGAAGATTTAGTCAAAAAGCGCTTCAAAGACAAGATTATATTTACACAACATTGATAAAAGACAAGAAGAAGATACAAAAATCAGTTATCTGATCTGGTGTTTTAGTATCTGAAATGGCTCCAGCACTGTAAGCTTTCAAATGTCCATAAAGCCTCTCTAATTCACATCAGTAGACTCTGTCTCCATTCCTTTCACAGCATTACCCTTTTAGAGACTCTTAGATAATGCCTTTTAAAAGGCTGCAACCTTTTCCAGATATCTTCAAACCACTGCATCTTTTCTGGCTGTGGTACTGCAATTTCATGTCATCATCGGTGGAACCCTCACAATTTCAGTCACGTCTGACTTGATTCTGTAGCTGCAGAGTTGTAGTTATGCTAATAACTTCCAGAAGTAAAGCAAAAGTTTAGACAGAAATCACTAGTCAGTAGCTGATCATTCCCATTAGCATTGGCAAAGGTTTCTCTGTGAGTATTTTTCCTTACAGTGGAAGAGGGAAGACATCCATTTCGGAGCTTCTTGCAATGTTAGATTCATCAAGCCTTAGAAAAAGGGAGTAGAGGTGGGCCAAAATATCTTATATACTGCTTTGAGAGATGCAACCAAGGTGGGAGATGACAACTGCACTATAAGACTCCTCAAGATTTGTGGAGATCAATTCACTTTGTCATTCTATCAAGTTTCTTGTAGTGTGCAGCTACAAAGGTGTCTGATCTGGCTCAAACACCAAACAGAAGCAATACAGTTTTGTGTATCTTCTGTTGTGCACCAGCTCATGATTCCCACAAGGAAGTCCTTGTACTAGGATGAGGGCCACCCTTGGATAAAGAACAGCCTTTTGAAGCTGAATACAAGCAAGACAGTGGACAAAACACTGATTCTCAAAGGCATACTGCTCATCCATACAGGAAAAAAATTCTTTGCTGTGCAGCAGAAACCTTGAAATGAACTCCTTTCACAGCTGGAGATGATTGCAAATCTCACCTGTTTCTTTCTGCAGTGTGAGACACTTTTTTTTTTTAACTCCTCTATATTGAGCAGCAACTGTTAAAAAAAAGAAATGAAAAACCTCTTGCTGGCCCCTTAAAAATGGTCTCCCAATAAAAACTACTAAATTTCAGTATGCTTGAGTATATTAGTCATGATTGCAATATAAGAAGACTTCTGTGGTGCTCCTACGTTACTGTTTCCTAATCAATTTATTTGCTTTAATCAAGATAATTTTTTACTCTTCAGTGCCATATGTACTTCCTGAGGACTGCATACAGGTGCAGACTCGCAGATATGCGTGCTCTCAAGTTTGAAAAAGTAGAGTTTCTAATGTTACTGATGAATGTGACCAACAAGCCTTCTAAGGATGGGGTTTTATAGGCTGGTGGTATTGAGCCGTTAATGGCTTAATCAATGAGATTGTAAAGATCCATGAAAGCTCTTTAATTTGAAGCTACAGCCTGTACTGCTTGTTTTCAATTATGGTATTTTTTTGTCACATGGCAAATGCTAGATGGTTCTCTAGGGGGAATTTGTGATTCCAGACAGGAGGGCAGCCACCAGGAGAATTACCACACCTTTAGTCTTCTCTTTCATATTGCTGCAATGGAATATCACTTGCAAAGTTCATCAGAGATCGCTAACAATCTTCTGTTCTTTATGTGAGCTCATTGAGAACACTTGACAGCCCTCTGAAATCTTGATTCATAAAATAGCTTTCGGATTCCCCGGATATCCTTATTGCATAATTAGTTTTAAATGAGAGTAACCTGTAGGTATTTCTGTAAGGATTTTATTCCAGAAATGTGTACTTTTAAAACATCACTTTAATGGCAAATCTTGCAATTTAAATCCTATTTCTAAAAGGTTGCAATTGAAGGTACTGCAGAGCTTTATTTTTATTTTTAAAAAACCGAGCCACATACCCTGTTAGGCTTCCAGGCTATTTTTATCTGGTTTCTATAAAAAGATTTTTTAGGAGATAGTAGATGAGGTCTACCCCCTCCTTGACACATAATGTTCTGCGAGTCTATTCTTAGCAGCTTGTTCTGACAGATTACAACTTTCTGGTAGGGAGATAGGAATTGCTTAAGGAGAGCTCAGAAGTGTGATTACACACTTCTCCAGCATGTCTGGAGATGGGTTATTAATAACTGCCAATGGCCTGGCTTGCTTCAGCAGGTTGTAGACAGAGGAGGGGGAATTGCTCAGTTTGCACTGGCTCAGCAGAAAGAAGGTTGTTCTCTCTGTTACCTGCGGAGATACTGTGGAGGTGCTAATGGTGAGTTCCAGACCTCTGGGACTTCATGTCTTTAAAAATCTGGCAAGTTTGGTTTCTACGTTGCTCTCTCACTGAAGATAAACCATCAACCTGCTTCTACTCAAACAGTCACAAGCTTCTCCAGGAAATGCTCTAACTGATCAGACTTTTGCTTTAGTTAGGCAACAAACACCATGTAGTAATAAGGTCAGGACTATGTTGGTTGGCTTTATTTTAGAGGAGCAAATTTATGAATCAGAGATGGCATCTGGACGGTCTTGGGTTTTATGTGAGCAGTCACACACACACACACACACACAGAGAGCCCTTCTGAGAAATGGAAATTGGGACCTAGGAGTTCTAGCTCTTTTGCTTCAGTGGCATATTCAAGAAATTGTTACTTGGTGAAATCATTCAGGCTGGATTATTGGCAAACTGAATATAATACTTTTTTTTTTTCATAGAAACCAATGTTTCAAAATCTTCCTAGGAAAGAGCATTCTATTTCCTTTATTTCCTTTTAAATCAGGGGTAGAAAAGGTACTATACAATTGTACCTAGAAGTGGAACTGAATTTGGGAACGGATGGGTTTTTCTGTTGCAAAGGTCGTGTCTTAACAATGGAGATGGATGGGCCTCCACTCCTGAAATAATGTATCTTAATTTCTGTGAGGTTATCCTATAAATGTAGGTATCAAATTTTGAATGAGACTTTGTAGTTTAATTATGATCTTAATTCTCAAGTCTTGTCAAGTTATATTGTAGACAGATTTCTGTTTTAAGTCAGTCTGTAAACACCCAGAGTAAAAATCAAGGCTTATGTCGCCTAGGCCATCTTAATTCTTTAGCATATCTCATGTCATCTCGTCCATCTTGTTACTGGTAAGGAGTGAAGCTGCAACTGTAAATAACTGAGCAGTCATATGCAGCCTAAATAATTTGTGTTTCTGTTGATTACCATAGTTCAAGTAAATTTTATGGCTCTATTCAAGCAGCTACTTAATGGAAAAAATCTAAAGTTATTTGCTACAGTGAAGGCTCTTACTCCTGCCATTTAGGATAACTCAGAAATTGTCCAGTGACACTTTAAATTAGGGCTAAGTGAAAAACACTGCACTTCTGTGCCTCAGTTTCCCCATTTGTACATAGGGTTCATAGCAACTCTTGTAAAATACTCTTACTGAAAATTTTTAATATAAAATCCAGATATTACTGTGAGAATTCATTCATACACATATACATACATCTGGTTTTTGCTGTAGAACAGATTTTCTGCAATATTTGACAAACATAGAAAAA